AATGGCCGCCAGATTTTTACAACAGTTTCAATCATCTTAAATATATGAACATGTCACTTGCTAGAATCATGAAGGACGCGGTTCCTTTTAAAGGTGTCGCAAAATAATTGAAAATTAAGATCACATTCGTCCCGAGTGTAAGGATAACGACGAGGTCAAGAAAATAAGATTTTTCCGTCGTAATATTAACTTGAAATATGTTTATCTGGGTACACTTTGTGTACATGGCATCTCACGTTGTGCTGACTTAGTGTTAGTCAACGGTGAAGAAGTAATCAAAAGAGGTAGACAAAGGTAACGAGGTAAACAACACTTAAGCAGCTGTCTATAGTCCGTCTTCATCTGGGCCAAATTTCATATTGATAAGTTTCTTCAGAGCTGATTTGAAGTCACTGCTGGTCCGACACTGATGTTCCATCACACACTCGCGTATATATACACAGGAAAAAAATCACGATTATAAAATGTTTATGAGTTCTTAGAACCCGGATATTCGTTAAAGAGACAGGGATTTCGACGGTTTGCCTTTGATTCTGGAGAAGGGTTCTACATCAAAGAAACTGGAGCTGTTCTCGCCCTGCATCAAGACTGAATACATCTAATTATTTCCACTGTACGACCCCTGTGGGTTTCGCGCTTCCACACGAATCAAATGTGGAGGCGAGAACTCCTTTGCCACACTTTAGGTTAAGTACTGTCAACATCTGAGGTCCGAGACTCTTCAACCTTCTACTAGTTGATATAAGCAACACTGACGTCATCAATGTAGAAGCTGTCAAGAGTAAACCGGATCAGCACCAGTTCAGTACCACATCAGTCCTGATGGCTATATAGACTAGAGGGTAGAAACAGCCTGGCTGACCAAGCAATCACAAATGAAGGCCTCAGGTGGGCTGCCCGAGTAGAACTCTCCAAACCCGTCACTGGTATGTGACTTTATGACAAGAAAATCTGGAAGCAATTTAAATTCCATATAAATTATAATGCTGAAATCACACACACACATACACACACATACACACTACCAGAACTGTGAGTAATTCACTATGAGCGAAGGTTGAAAGAGCTAAACTAAACTATGGTAGAGAAGGACAAGGATGGAGGAGACATGATTGCAATGTACAAAATTTTTAAAGCAATTGATAAAGAAAATAAGGATCAGACTAAATTAAGAAGATCAAAATGAAGGGAGCACAAGTGGAAGCTAAAAATAAAAATGAAATATGGGGATGTAAGGAAGTATTTCTGCAGCTTCAGGGTGACTGAGAAGTGGAATGACAGATAAGGCCCAAGAAGGCATTGCTGTCAATCAAGGTGGTCTAGGGCGGGGCCAGGAACTAAGTATCAACCCCCGCAAACACAAATCAGTGAGTACGCACAAGCAAAGAGAGTCACCCGTGACATAAAAACCTGCACATTGGCAGAATATTGAACACAGCTTGGTGGCTAGACGCGGCTCACACACAGCAACACTGCTGCAATACAACCACTGCTGCAACACACATACAGGAACACTGGAGCAACACACAGTACTACCGAAACACAAAACGCGGTCCTCACACACACACACACATTGCTGCAACACAAAACGCGGCCCTTACACAGACACTACCACTGCTGCAACACAAAACGCGACACACACACACACAGGAACACTGCTGCAACACATGAGTGCTCGCTGAGGAAGCCTCCAAACATTGATCACTCTCCACGTTTTGTTTTTCTTTACAGTAAAAAAATATAGACTCGGCGGAGAGACAAGTGAAGCAAGAGGGAAAAGAAAGTGAAGCAAGAGGGAGAGACAAGTGAAGAAGAGGAGAGAAGGAGGGGGAGAAAAGCGAGACGAGAGAAAAGCTCATCAAGACGAATACAGTACATAGCAGCCAGCGCTCTCGCTACCACGCCATCATGGGACCCACAATGGAATATAGTCTTAGGGTAGAAAATGTGAATGTTGTAAGAGTGAACAATAAGGGCGAGACACTGAAGTGATGACCTTTAATAACACCAAGAAAATGAAGGTGTTTCCTGTAGGCGGCGCTAATGGCTCCTGGGAAGTGCAAATATTACGGTGTTATGGAGGCTGGTAGAAGCGACCATCAGGTTTAACAGACCAGTGTGTTCTAAAAATAAAAGAGGAAGTTAGGGGGGTTTTTTATGGTGCTTTGTGAGTAGACTGCAGGGAGAAGAGGTGGTATCTGGACTGAAAATCAGGCAGAACGTAGGATGAAAAAACTTATTATTGTGAAGGGAAAGATGATGAGGGTGTGAGGGCGAGGATGTGAGAGGAAGAGGTGTGAGGGGAGGGTGTGAGAGGAAGAGGGTGTGAGGGCGAGGATGTGAGAGAAAGGGGGTGTGGAGGGGAGGGTGTGAGAGGAAAGGGTGTGAGGGAATTGATAAAGGTGGAAGGGAAAGGGGTAAAAAAAAAAGCCGGGAATAAAATTTGAAAGGGAAAAATTTGGGAAGTGTTGAAAAAAAAGGAAAAAAGGTTTTTAAGGGTGTATCAATTAAAAAAGGGGGAGGGCAAGGGAAAGGAAGTTCCCCGGTATAAAGGGGAAAAAAATTTAGGGGAAATTAGAATTAGGGAAAAATTTGGGGAAGGGTTTAAATTTTTCAAAATTTAAGAAACCCCTTAAAAAAAAAGAAAGCCAAATAACATTAACTGGAAATTAATTAAACGGGGAAATTTAAAACGAGGGAAAGTTTTTTAAATTTAGAAATAAGACTAATTAAAAACTAACCAAATAAGTAACGGAAAGGTCACCCCTATTAATAAATTTTTAACCCCAAAGAGAGAACCTTTATACAGGAAAGTAACCACATAAGTATGGGGACCAGGCCCAATGCCCTAAAAACTTAAATGGCCAGGAAAACTGTAAAAAAAAAAAGACCTGCTTTTTTTACTCAATACAAGTAACGTAGGTCATAGATTTTATTTTAAAAAATTAATTAATAAATAGGGTTATTACCTCAAGGGTAATAACAAAGGGTTCTCCTTTAAATTTAAAAAATTACCCTTTAGTTTTTTTCCTTGAAAAAACATCATTACCCCAATCCAAGATGGTACCTCCCTTTACACCCCGGAATTTAAAATATAAGTAATTTTAAATTATTAATATTTAATTTTTTAAAAAATATAGCGCAAGGAAATTCTTGGGTTAATAGCAACCTATTTGATATAACAATGAAAATTTTTATGGGTTTTTCGCCCAAAAACATTGAACCTAAAAATAATTTTCACTGTGTTTGTTTAGTATTAAATTATGTAAACAAATCTAAAATATATTTAGTTGGGTTAGGCTAAAATAAATTGTTCTCGTTATAATAAGGTTAGGTAAGTTTTCTAAGATTCTTTTGGAGCAAAATTAAAATTTTTACATTAACATTAATGAAAAAATATATCTTTAAACGTATAAGATAAAATTTTAGAAAGGACTTAATTTTAAATGAGTTCTTGCTAATTGACCAGTTTTACATATTCGGCACGACATATATATATATATATATATATATATATATATATATTATATATATATATATATATATATATATATATATATATATATATATATATATATATATATATGTATATATGTATGTTATATATATATGTATGAGAGTATAGTTTTACCAACGCTCTTATATGGGTGTGAAGCGTGGGTGATGAATGTTGCAGCGAGGAGAAGGCTGGAGGCAGTGGAGATGTCATGTCTGAGGCAATGTGTGGTGTGAATATAATGCAGAGAATTCGTAGTTTGGAAGTTAGGAGGAGGTGCGGGATTACCAAAACTGTTGTCCAGAGGGCTGAGGAAGGGTTGTTGAGGTGGTTCGGACATGTAGAGAGAATGGAGCGAAACAGAATGACTTCAAGAGTGTATCAGTCTGTAGTGGAAGGAAGGCGGGGTAGGGGTCGGCCTAGGAAGGGTTGGAGGGAGGGGTAAAGGAGGTTTTGTGTGGCGAGGGGCTTGGACTTCCAGCAGGCATGCGTGAGCGTGTTTGATAGGAGTGAATGGAGACAAATGGTTTTTAATACTTGACGTGCTGTTGGAGTGTGAGCAAAGTAACATTTATGAAGGGATTCAGGGAAACCGGCAGGCCGGACTTGAGTCCTGGAGATGGGAAGTACAGTGCCTGCACTCTGAAGGAGGGGTGTTAATGTTGCAGTTTAAAAACTGTAGTGTAAAGCACCTTCTGGCAAGACAGTGATGGAGTGAATGATGGTGAAAGTTTTTCTTTTTCGGGCCACCCTGCCTTGGTGGGAATCGGCCGGTGTGATAATAAAATATATATATATATTTTATATATATAATATATATATATATATATATATATATATATATAATATATATATATATATATATATAATATATATCAACCGCTACATAGTGCACCCACAGCTCTTGGTCGGGAGCAGTGACTAAACACGGCCCCACGCACACTAATATTACCAAAACGATCTGATTTTTTGGGGCGGGGGATGAAAGATCATAACATTAAAAATATTAAAAAAAATATCACGAAGGCTAAATTACTATTTCCTATGAATTAAATAGTATACTACGACTGGCTCTAACACACTGACCTCCTCGCCGAAAGTTTCCCTGATGATGCAGACTTCAATGTTCCATTCGTACAAACCCCCACCTCCACTACCTCCTGCATACCCCTTCACACACCCCTACTCTCAGCACTTTATGACCCATCTGGGTTTAGCAGAATTTTATTTTTTTTTACTATCAACTACTGGACAAGCACCTAAAGTCGGTACCTGACCAGCCGGGCTGTGGCTCGTAGGTTGGATTGCTTGCAGCCAGCAGTAACAGCCCGGTTGATCAGGCTCTGATCCACCAGGAGGCCTGGTCACAGACCGGGCCGCGGGGGCGTTGACCCCAGGAACTCTCTCCAGGTAAACTACTCTTTAGAATATGAGAGAAATCAAGCTTCCATTGCGTTGTGGCAATGACAAATCTAACCCTTGGCATTCCCGAGGAGCATCTCACCTGATTCTGAGGTAGAGGAAGAGGAGGAGGAAGATGCGGATGAGGAGGAAAAGGAGGAACTCTCTGAGACGGACCGCCGCTTGCCCATGATTTCCATGTCGAAGTGAGGCAGGAGGCCTGGACCCAAGGACTCGAGCCGCCGGCGCAGGAACCGCTGCTCCCGGGCCAAGTGGTCTTTGTGGGCCGTCTGCTTCCTCTCCTTGTCCTCAAGGTTCTGAAATATGTCAAAATGCTAAGTAAAACATAACCACTACCATCACAATGTCTAACATACACACAAGGGAACTATCATTTTTTTTATTCATACAAGTCACTATACAGTAACAGTGGTGTTAAGCGTAGATACCCACTACGCTAGCAGCTAGTAGCGGCAGCTTTAGCCCGCCGCTACTAGCTCGTGCTGGAAGCATATGGTCACATTCAGATGTCATGTACTTGTAAGATGTCATGGTAATAATTCAGTCTCTATGTGTTCCACTGATAAATTTGGGAAGATCCAGGGACAGTGGTGTTCCCATTGTCATTCCAAAATACATGATAATAAATAGTTTCCTCCCACATCCTTGAATAGTTTTCAAAAAAAATCACTTTATTACAAGAAGTTAAGTAAGTAATGTCCCTTAAGGAAGACTCCTTGATGCCGGTAAGTAGTTCTTGACCCAAGGAAGTGGACCTATCCTTTTATTCCTTAAATAAAAACCTTATTGCTCCCCATTCCCTATTCACTCTATGATCCCTAAAGGAAAATACACAGAGGCAGTATAATGTGATCCTATACTGACAACATTTCGCCCACATAATGGGCTTTATCAAGTCACAAACAGACTTACCTGTTTGTGACTTAATAAAGCTCACTATGTGCGGTAAAAGTTGTCAATAAAGAATCACATTACACTGCCTTTATTTCTATTCATCGTGTCAGTATTTTATACCATTTCTTTCCACGATCTCTAAGAGTTTAGAGCGTTTCCCTGGTCATATAAACATACCGAGGCGTTGCATATCCGTCTTCCTGTTTGTATTATATAAGAGTAATATAATAGTTTCCCTGATTTTAATAACATGTAAGTGTTGTGGTAAGGAGAGATGTGCTAGACACAGAAAAAAATTGCCAGCGCTTATCACGGAAAAATGGCACTAGAGAGGACTGGTAGAATCATATCGCATCCGTGAAGGCACCACACATGCCAAGAATGAAAGACAATATATTCTGTTATGCGAAGGATGACCTTTCATTTCAAGTACCGCTGCCTGCGGGAGATGGTCCTATACTGCTGCCTGCCGGAGATGCAGTCGTATACTGCTGCCTGCGGGAGATGCAGCCGTATACTGCTGCCTGCGGGAGATGCAGTAGTACTCTGCTGCGTGCGGGAGATGCAGTCGTATATTCTTTTCGATACTTCTCGAAGGACAACCTTAGGAGTAACAAAGGTCGACATCGCATTTTAATACTGAAAATTAAGTAAATCAGCACCGTGCTGCACGGTAGCTGCACAGTGGAAGCACCAGCGGTGTGCTGCTGATGCTCTGATCTATATAATTCTTACACAGCGGGAAAAAGAGTTAGCTATGTTTCCCTGTCATACTCCATCACACAAGGATAGTTTTCCTACATCAAGTCCCTTCAAAAGGGAAGGAAGGAAACCTTGATGCTGGTAAAGGGCTCTTGATACAGTGAGTTAGAGGGACCCCTACCTTCCTGACTACTTCCCATATTTCAAGCACACTATGATCCTTACGGGTTCAACACTTCCCCGTTCAGCGCTCCCCATGATAATAATAATAATAAGCAACACTTCCCCATTACATTTGAACCATCCTGACAACAACTGAGGTTGGGGGAATAAACACAAGAGGAAAAGAGAGCGTGACGATACCACGTTCTTAAGTGGAAACTCGAGGTATTGTGATGAGAGAGATCGTGGCAATGTTTACCAGGGCGCAGCCTCGGCAAAGACCAGTCTTAAAAAATCAACACAGTATAATTACTAGTCTCAAATAAGGTTTATGTTGTTAGGTAAGACATATATGCAACAGTTAGGTATCTTTATTTCGAAATAACGATACCTAACTGTTGCATATGTGTCTTACCTAACAACCTGTCGGTATTTTATACCATTTTAATGTTCAAGATTTATGTTGACGCGTCTATTTTCATAGTGCATGTATATAGAAAATGCGTGTATATCTACAGTGTTGCACTATATACTTTGTTTAGACAAATATATCTACAGTATATCAACTTATCCTTTAACTCATTATCTTAATTTATTTTTTAAGTTTTCATATGATTCCATTTTGTTCAAATGTGTTAATTTTTTTTTAACTGGTCCAGAGTATTATAAGCACGTGTGTTCCCGTGAGTGGTCCTCTATGGTTTATGTGACGGCCGTGTGTGTGTGTGTGTGTGTGTGTGTGTGTGTGTGTGTGTGTGTGTGTGTGTGTGTGTGATACTGACTGCTGTGTGTACACCAACTGCACATAAATGCAAGTTTTATAAAGAACAAGTGCAAAATTCAATACAGAACAAGAAAAAGTTAATAGATAAAAAGTACAAGATTAAAACAAATACAGGAAATACAAGATCAATACAAAACAATACAAAGTCCACACACAACACGAACATAATCATCCGTAATAAAATCCATATATAATATTTGTACAGAGGAATAAAGATTTGTACAGAACACACAAATTAGAGACAGAACAAGTCAGACCCAGAACAAGTTCCGTACTGCTGCAAACTTCATTTATGAACCCAACTCTGTTTTTCTCTCTCGCCCTTCCCACCAAATGAATTCATTTTCATTCAGTAAATGATGGCCTCGCTATATTACCTCACCCCTCGTGAATAATGCTTGCCCACTAGCCTCAGCCATCCCCCTTAGCCACCAGCCTCAGCCTTTCCCCTCATCCAAAGTCTTCAGCCATCAGCCTCAGCTATCCCCCTCATCCATGAGTTTCAATCAACAGCCACCACTCTCTCAACTTCCCTCACCGACATGCAAGTAGTGTATCTCATACAGTCTTCGGTGTTCTGCCCTCTCCTCCACCCACTCACAGCTTCCATACAAAACAAAAACTAATACCTATTATTGTGTGCCGGTGTTTTCCTAGTCACATGATCCGTTCAAAGAGCCTGGGCTGTAGTTCACTTTGTCTCCTCTGTATTATTAAGTTCTTACAAAAAACGCACACACACACACACACACACACACACACGAGAGGTACAGTGGGAAAGAGAACTCATGGGAAAAACAGTAAATGAAATGATGGAATACATGACCACAAAATGCAAGGAGGTAGAAGAGAGGTTCGTACCCAAGGGCAACAAAAACAATGGGAAGACCAGAACGAGCCCTTGGTTCACACATTCTTTTTAGAGAGGAAAATAAGGAGATTAGCCGAAGAGCCAGAAACGAATATGCATATATAAGGAGGGAGACCCAGCGGCAATACGAGAATGATTTAGCATCGAAAGCCAAATCTGACCCAAATCTGTTGTACAGCGACATCAAGAGGAAAACAACAGTCAAGGACCAGGTAATCAGGATGAGGAAGGAAGGAGGGGAGTTCACAAGAAACGATCAAGTAGTATGTGAAAAGCTCAACACTAGATTTAAGGAACTATTTTCACTGGAGACAGAAAGGACTCCAGCAAATCGGGACGGAAGGATATACCAACAAATGCTGGACACACTACACACAACCGAGGAGGTGAAGAGGCTAAGTGAGCTAGATAGCTCAAAGGCGGTGGGACCAGACATCTCTCCATGGGACCTGAGAGAGGGAGCAGAAGTGGTGTGCCACTAACCACAATCTTCAACACACCATCGGAAGGTTGTGGTCATAGTGGTACCTATGCCAACCTTCCTATGGTGTATAAAAATACCTAGTTGGACGAATCTTGTTGTAGCCAGCTGGCTCAGTGGCTAGCGCGTCGGTCTGGAGTTTTATGACTCTCTGCGGGTTCTATCCCTACCCGTGGTATGATTAATTTGGCTGGGTTCATATTTCGTGACAAGATGGTGCTGCCACCTACAGGCCAACTTACCTCAGCCCACACCACGCTTACCCTGTCTCATTCTGGCAGCCGAGCTCACTCAGTCAACAAGGCCTACTCCGTCACTCTCTCCCGGGCATGGCCCTCCGGGCCTGCCTGGGCAACTTAGGCACACTGCCTGTGTACCAAGAACTCAAAGTAACAGCCTATGAAGAATATATTCATCCCCACTTGCACACCCAACGAATCAGTTGTAATATTGGTGGAAGCGGTGGTCGCAGCAAGTGTGTTGTCCGGAAGAAGGAAGGAAGCCGAAGATACTGTCTCCACTTCATCGCCCCATACAAGAAGCATCTGTCTCTCTACGAGTTGTCCTGAAATTGTGTCTGCAAGTTTTATCATTCAGACAAGATCAGCAGGATCCAGGCCGAAATTTGCTGAATTTTCCTCGAGAAATCTTCATGGCACCACCTGGGTCTTCAGTGTCTCACACTGTTCTTCAGTCACGTGTTCAGCATCACCTGTATATTTCTGCTGTTGTTCAGCTCAGCACGACTATTTCAGCAGAGGTGAGTTTGTGTGGTGCCGTGTGTCCAGTGTGGTTGTTTCTCCATGTGTTTGTGTGTAGGGGAAGGAAGAAGGGGCGGAGTCCCCGTCTCACCCATGCTCATCTCACACCACCATACACCACTACACTCTCACACCCCCTCTGCTGTTTTTTATATGAATTCAATCTGAATTCTCGCCAGAGCTGTGTATCTGAGTGGCCGAGGTCACTCGAAGCCACGTGGATCACGAAGCCACTTGAAGCCACGTGGATCACGAAGCCACTTGCGGATAAGGCCACGTGGATCCACAAGCCATGTGGAGCGAGCCACATGGATTACCAAGCCAGATGTCCAAAGCCACATGCTGTTGTCTGCTGCCTGATGTCACCTCCCAACGTCACCGAGGACGTCTGCCTGACGTCACTTCAGGAAGTCACATCGTGATGTCACCCAGGATGTCTGTCCCATGTCATCTTGCAATGTTACCCAGGACGTCTTCCCGACGTCACCCCTGACGTCACTCCAAGACATCTGCCCAACGCCACCTCGTGACGTCACCCAGGACGTCTACTCGACGTCACCTCACGATGTCTGCCCGACATCACCTCGAAACATCACCCTAAATGTCTGCCTGGCGTCACTCTGGACGTGTGCCTGACGTTA